AGGACGCTCATCTGTTCTCAGCGTAGATACCTCGGGTACCGTGGAGATCTGTGCTGAAGTCACCCTAGCTGAGACTGGTCTTTTCTTGGGATGAACCTCTGGGATGATGATCAGTTGATCATCATAGAGTCCCTGTTCCGTCATCGGGACAATCTCGGCAGAGAAAGTCCTTGTAGTCTGCGCAGACGTCCCCATAGAGTTGGTCGTCATCTGAGGGGTGTGTAGCCTTCTCTGGGTAGAGGATGGCTTCTATTCATCGTCTGCGATGATTGTAGAGCTGCCCTCTCTGCGTTGATAGCGATATGGTCCAGGGATCGCTCATCTGCCGCCCTCGGACTGCGTGCTGTATCTCTGGGATGATCAGCAGCGGCTCATCATGAAGTCATTTCAGTGCCATCGGGATGATGTCTGTGAGGCTTCATTCTGCGTAGAGGATGGCTTCTTCTTCTACGTCTGCGTTGAGGGGTTGCCCGATGTAGAAGCCAACGTCTTCGAAGTAATGGCGGACAACATCCCACGCCCATCCTCCGAGGACACCTCCGGCAGGTCACTTGATGGTAGTAAGTCGTCTAACAGCAGTAGACAGCTCGTGAGGGACTCAGCCAGTTTATTCATGACTTGGAAAGTCACCTGGATTTGTCGGTAGTACGTCTAAGTACAGAGAAAAATTATTTATTAAATTGAATTTCTATTAAATGCTGATCAAGATTACAGCTATAGCTGGAAGTACATGTTGTTGTGCAGCTAGGGCACAGTCAATGCAGGTTTGCAGCAGCGAACCTAAACCTACAACAAAAATAGGTTTTCATGAAATGTAAACAACTGAACAAACACGGACAATTCCGTGAATAAACAGTGCTAAATAGGATTAAATATCAAACCATATTGTTGAAGAATACTAACTAAACCTCTATAAAAGTAGAATAGAGGAGAATAACTAAGTAATTAAAGGATATAGTGCCGTATAGGAGAAACAGGCGCTCTCACAACCTGCCCACAGGGCGAAGAAGGAGAGAGTGAAGCATGGGAGTACGGTGGCGCCGCTTTCCCGCCAAAACGGCCACACAGATAACTCGTGGTGAGTAGGGATTTTACGTCTGTTCTTTATTGAAGGGAGCTTCAATAGGAGATACAAGTGTTCCACTAACGTTCGCAAGAGGAAGGAGACAAGCAAAAGAGCATGAGTCAGGATAAGGAAAAATAAATTATTTCCAAGTAACACCACATTATTCATTACAAAAAAAAAACACAACACAAAAGGGCTGTGAAATAGTTAGTGCACTGAGGACACATTTTTCAATACATTACCTGTGGTGACTACACTGAAAATCAGACCTTCAGGAACTGTGCTACCACCCCTTCAATCAGTTCCTCTACTGGACCATTCATTCAAAATGGTGCAAAGCTCATCTCCAGTGGAATACCGTATATGACCGTCTATAAGCCGTCTATAAGCTGACCCCCAAACTTGACCCTTAAAATCAGTGTCAAAATAGTATGGTTCGTACATAAGCCGATCCCTCGCGATGGGGTCCTAATCCTGGCAAACACAAACCACAGACAACTGGCAGTTACCAATAATTATAACTTTGGTCCACATTATCCAAAGAATTCACAAACATTCTACTCACGCATCAAAATGAAGAGTAGTTGACAGAAAATGGATACTGTATATGACCGTCTATAAGACGACCCCATGGATAAGACAACCCCCAAACTTGACCCTTAAAATCAGTGTCAAAATGGTATGTTTCGTACATAAGTCGATCCCCCGCGATGGGGTCCTAATCGCAGCAAACACAGACCACAGACAACTGGCAGTTACCAATAATTATAACTTTGGTCCACATTATTCAAAGAATTCACTGTCATATATATTGTGTCTACTCACGGATCGAAACGAAGTGTAGTTGACAGAAAATGCATAATATATTTTGCTTCTCTAAACATCATATTTATTGTAGCAACAAACTGGCTTGCTTATTTATCCCCATTCAACAATCACGAACTGATTACCGCCTCATTTTCCATTGACTGCTAGTTTACAGTAACATCGGTAAAAATGTGTGAATTTAAATGGCGTCCGTATTTTACCCCATTCCATGTGCTTACCACGTTCATGAGGGTCCGTATAACCTTAGTGTTGATTATATATATTTTACATAAAACTGTAAATAAAATTACACAATGCTAGGATATATTTCTTTGGGTTAAATAATAGTATTCTGTATTATATTTTACTGACGACTCGTCAGAATTCATCCCGTTATATTATTGTGCATGTTTGAACTTGTTAAGCGAAACGTGTGCAAAATGCAGCTGATTGCTATTTCGGCTCAAATACATACGGTAATCTTAATTAATTAATAGAGCAAAACTGTAACTAAAATTACACAATGCTAGGATATATTTCTTTGGGTTAAATAATGGTATTCTGTATTATATTTTACTGATGACTCGTCAGAATTAGATCCCGTTATATTATTGTGCATGTTTGAACTTGTTCAGCGGAAAGCGTGTGCACAGCTGATTGCTATTTCCGGCTTTGTGTACGAGACAAATACGCACGGTAATCTTAATCCCTGCAAATAATACAATGCCCAGCAAAAACAACTTATACTAGTAACTTAAAAGGTAAATAATCTTGTCTAGTGATGTTTAATTGCAAATTTGACGTCTCTACTGACAAAGTCGTCTTCTGTTGTTTGTTCACACGAAGTGATACGATACTGTTTTCTTTCCCCTGGAAAAAAGTTTGACGAAAGCGTAACCTATGGATAAGACGACCCCCTTCTACAGACTGCTTTTTTTGGTCCTCAAAATTCGGCTTATAGACAGTCATATACAGTAATATATTTTGTTTCGCTAAATATACTTATTGTAGCTGGACGATCACATGTCAACAAACTGGCTTGCTTATTTTACCCCATTCAACAATCACGAGCTGATTACCGCCTCATTTTCCATGGACTTCTAGTTTACAGTAACATCGGTAAAAATGTGTGAATTTAAATGGCTTGCTTATTTTACCCCATTCCATGTGCATACAACTTCCGCTTACCACGTTCATGAGGGTCCGTATAACCTTAGTGTTGATTATATATATTTTACATTTATAGAGAAAAACTGTAAATAAAATTACACAATGTTAGGATATATTTCTTTGGGTTAAATAATAGTACTCTGTATTATTATATTTTATTGATGACTGCGTCAGAATTCATCCCGTTATATTACTGACAAATATTGTGCATGAATGAACTTGATCGCCGGGAAATGTGTGCACAGCTGATTGCTATTTGCGGTTCAAATACACACCGTAATCTTAATCTTAATTAATTTATATAGCAAAATCTGTAATTAAAATTACACAATGCTAGGATATATTCTTTGGTTTAAATAATAGTATTCTGTATTATATTTTATTGATGACTGCGTCAGAATTCATCCCGTTATATTATTGTGCATGTTTGAACTTGATCGCTGGGAAACGTGTGCACAGCTGATTGGTATTTCCAGCTCAAATACACACAGTAATCTTAATCCCTGCAAATAATACAATGCCCAGCAAAAACAACTTAGAACTTAAGGTAAATAATCTTGTCTAGTGATGTTTAATTGCAAATTTTATGTCTTTACTGACAAAGTCGTCTTCTGTTGTTTGTTAATGCGAAGTGATACGATGTTGTTTTCTTACCCCTGGAAAAAAGTTTGATGAAAGTGTAGATAAGCCGACCCCCTTCTACAGACTGCTATTTTTATCCTCAAAATTCGGCTTATAGATGGTAATATACGGTATGTAAAAGTGGTCCCATGTACTCTTCACTGTTGAATCCCAGGGCTCTGTCTAAGTTGCCTGTCTGCCACCACTGTACTTGTGGTGGTGGATCTCAAATGATCTAAGGGAAAATTTAGTTGCCATCACAGAACTTGTGATGTTAAAGGCAATCTCACCAGTGCATGAAACGGGGATAAAATTATCAAGCCCTTTGTTTCCCAGCTTTGGATGTCACTGGGTCAGGAATCAACTTACTGGTTGAAAATGCAAGACACAAAAGAGGTCATTGTCTTCCTGCAACAGAATAGGGTGTTGCAACAATCAGTGGCCAGCTGACTCAGGACACCCTTACTGAACATATGTGCTTGTGAGGAATCTGATGCAAAACCATCCTCAGCCAGCAAATCTTGAAGAGTTGTACATATCCCTCCAATAGGAATAGCTTGACACCACCTAACACATAAGTGCATTCAATGCAATATCAATGCAATATCAATGCAGGTGTGCACAGCCATCATTATCAACATGTGAGACATATGACTCTGATGTTCTTTATCTGCATCCAGGCATTTCCAAGGGTGTTTACTCTGGCTTTTGTATCTCACATTGACAGCATTTCTTGTTGTAAGATACATGTTAATGTGTTCAGTCACAGCTCCTGAAAACCAGGTCTTCCCGCACTTTTGTTGTGGAGTATCATACTGTTTCGCTGAGTGTCAAATACTACTACTCACACTTTGACTTTGACTTTACTTAAACGTAGACAGATAATTTGAAATTATATCCATTTATAACTTGATAAATAATAATATGGTAACCCCTCTTTAGGCAAACAGTCACTTTAATCTAACCTTATGCACTTGATCCATCAGTAACCATAAAAATAGTTTTCATGGCACCAATCAACCATTTTGCAAATCATGGAATGAGTCATTGACAAGTACACAACAACTGTCAATAGCAAGTATGGGATCCACAAGCTAAAATGACACACTGAAACCAACGATCCATGCTTACAATAAGCTTAGATATCCAATTTGACCCCACATCATAGTTTTCTGTTGAATCCATGATTTGATCCTTAGCAAAGTGTGAATAGTATATTTATGGATATAACAAACATAACATGAACTGACAACATACGCCCATGCCATAAGGTGATTTAACTAAAAATTCTGGTGAGCGAGAAAAAGGGTGGAAGCACAACATGAATGTGTCTTACCTTGCCCATGAATGGTACCAGATGATGCTCACATAATGAGAACATTTCAATATCTTTCACTATCACCATTTCATCATGATCCTCATCAAAAACAGCATCATTTAACACCTCTGAAAAAAGAACAAAAAGCATAAGTGGGTAATGTGGATTAGTTCACAACACATAAAATTTACAAACAAAAAAGGTTTTAAAGCAGAAGTACAACAGCACCAAGCAATGAATGTCAAAGATGACATTGACCATTGATACAGAACATTAACATTTTGTGTGTCTGTAGGGGTAGGGGACCATGCCTCTGATACCGACTGACCTTGAGCTATGACTCAGCTTATCTAAAACCTTTTCAAACGGATATATACTAGGCATCATTAATAAAGGGTCAAATGATATATAGCACATGTAAAGAAAAGTTTCTCAGAAATAATAGGACTAAGAGTGTCATCATTATGTTTAAAGTGTTGACAGACGTGACACATAGTGACATACAGACAAAAAGTTCAAACAGCACTAGCAAACATCAGTTGTATGGACCCCCCCCCCCCCCCTCCCAAATGAAAATGACAAACATGAAACCCTCAGTCATTCAATATCTTGTGTACCCTCCTCGGCGTCCAAGACACAGGTGCACCTTGTTCTCATTCCTCTACTAGAGCTCTGCGAAGTCCTGGGAGATCCACTGGTGCTGGGCGACGTGTGTACACACGTCCACGGAGTTCGTCCCAAGCATGCTCAATTGGGTTGAAGTCTGGCAAACATGCTGGCCACTCAATCTGCTGACAATCCTGGCCCTATGAGGCCTAGTGTGGTAGTCTTGCAATAAAGAAGTTCGACCATAAAAGCCATGCATATGAATGGTACTGCTATAGGAGCCAGAATCTTGTCCCGAAAACGTTGTCCAGTAAGATTACCATCGACAACGTGCAGTAGAGTACGTCCAGTAGGGAGTTATCCCGGCCCAAACCATGACAAGACCACCTGCCAAATCGGTTATGCATGGCCACAGTTGCATCTTTTATTAGCTCTCCATTGCGACGATAAATCCTCTTCTGACCATCATAGAAGGTCAAATTGAATCTGCTTTTATCTGTGAAGAGCACATAAGACCATTGACGTTGATTCCAGAGGCCATGATGTCTACTCCATCTCAAACTCGCCTGCCTGTGACATGGTGTTAGTGGTGGAGGTGGAACTGCAGGTTGCCTACAGCGGAATCAGGCTGCCCTTAAACGATGCTGCTGGACATCCTCACATTGTTAACATTGAGGTGTTCTGTCTGAAGATCTGCTGCCTATCATCTCGGAACGTTGAGACTCGACGTGTATATTCCACAAACCCATTGGCTTGAAATCTCTGCCACAGTCTACCAATAGCACTCTGACTCATATTAAAGCAGACAGCAACCTGCCACTGAGTATGACAAGATTTCAAAAGGCCTATAGCCTGACCCCCTTCAGCAAGTGTAAAAAAACAGTCTCATTTTAAGCTGCGATTTCAAACAGGTACCTGAGCAGTGAACGACAGTGAAATAGCATCAATGCATGTGTATTGTCCTCCACTTTCCATGGATAGAGTGACTTGCATGTGCAAATCATTGACATTAAGTGGCAGATGGATTTCTATACTGACAATCTGAATACAAAATGTGCTATTTCTAGCACAATGTATTGGAAGTTAAATAACGTGATAATGACATTTCAATGGCCTGGTGTGTTTTTCCATACTGATAAGAAAGTTTGTAAAACATTCAGTAGTATATATCTCAAACAAAAATGAAGATTTTACAACTTTTAAGACATAGTGTTACCAATAGCTTGACCCTTCATTAATTATGCCGAGTACAGAGAGATTAATGATGAACTTGTTACTGCTTTCTGAGAAGTTTAACCACACACATTTTGGCAGTGTATTTACCTCATGACATGACTCTTGTTCCCTGCTTGGCTGGAAATACTTTACAATAACATCTTATATGCTTTTGGAAAAAATATGCCTACTACAACTCGTAAAGTCCCATATCTTGAATAACATTAATAAGAGTATTATATGTACCTCACTTCTGGTCTTGGAGCGAGTGAGTGAGTGAGTGAGTTTTACACCGCTTTTAGCAATATTCCAGCAATATCACGGTGAGGGACACCAGAAATGGGCTTCACACATTGTACCCATGTGGAGAATCGAACCCAGGTCCTCAGCGTGACAAGCGAACGCTTAAACCACTAGGCTACCCCAATGCCTAGTCTAAGCACATGTCTAAGGCCAAAATTAATGTATTATCCAATTTTCATCCAACTTTTGAAAAGAATGAGGCAAGAGGCAGTTTGAATCTATTAATTCTTTCTGAGAGAACCCAATGACTTCCTTGTGAATAGTGTGCACTCTTCTTCTCCTCAAAAGGGTCTGTTCAACAGGTGCTCAAATGTGCTGTTAATTATATCATATATCAACATAATGTTTCAGGCATAAATATAGCAGGACCTAATCTGAAAATGAAAATCAGTTCTGCTGTTCCTATGATAGTCATAAATAAGACGGCAGCTACTTCTATTGAGGATGATGAATTGGGTCCTAGTCAAAATGGCCGCATGACAAAAGGGCCGCAAGAAAGTCAAATGGGCTGCAAACCCCTAGTCAAAAGGGCCGCATCAAAAAGTCAAAAGGGCCGCTTTAAAAAGTCAAAAGGGCCCATAAAAAATTTTATTAATAACATTTTTTTTCAAAAGTATTATAGTAAATGGTTATACATCTATACAATATATATTTTATGCATACTAGTCCTGTTTTTAATAGATATTTTTTTCAATATTAGAAAGAAAATTTTGACATATTTTGTAGGATCTTAAAACAAATGCTATAACCAGGGTATGAAACTCCGAAAAGTTTCAGCCAGACCACAGGGTTGATTGAATGTAGGACTTGCCAGCCCTGACCAAAACATACCTGCCCACAAAAAATACTAATTTACTTAGTACAATTAAATCAAAACTTGTAAAATAATAATGATTTATATTTTAACCCGACCGTCGGGCAGGTGAATTTGAGAATCTGGCAGTCTGTCTTGAAAACAACCCGTCCCGGGCGGTCGGGCAGGCAGGTATTTCGAACGCTGCTATAATGCTTCCCTAACATTTGTCATGAAATATGTATGTATATAAGCACGTGCATCTTTGGGGTATAAGACATCAGACCTTCAAGTCATCTTCAGAGACCATGTCCCGATTATCGCAGGAATCCAGAGAGGGAGCCATTGGAATGGTACAGATGGGTGTCACTCATGCACATGTTGCAGCGACCTTTGGCTGTACACGTTTAACCACCATGAGGTTGGTGACCCGCTACAGACAAACAGGGCGGACAGTAGACAGGTCCAGAAGTGGTCACCACCTCCAACGAGAACCACTACTTACGTACCCTGCACCTGAGAAATCGTTTTCTACCTGTGACTTCATCATCAGCAACTGGGCTTGGGCATCCTATCAGTCGACGAACAGCAGCACGACAACTCAGACAATACGGTATCCACGCCTTCAAGCCCTACCTTAGTGTACAGCTGACGCTTCAACATCGACGTCAACGTCTTCGATGGGCATGCACAGTTAGCCAGTGGCAAAACAGACAGTGGCAGAGAGTGATGTTCTCAGGCGAAAGCAGGTTCCAGCTGTTCAGGAATGATGGCAGGGTTCGTGTCTACAGACGCCGTGGAGGGCGTGTGCAACGTTGTTGCGTACAGGAAGTGGAACTGTTTTGTGGCGGAGGTGTTATGGTTTGGGGTGGCATATGTGATGATATGAAGACAGATCTTGGTGTGGTGAATGGTAATCTCACTGCTCAATGATGCATTGATCAAATTCTGTGTCCGGTTCTGCTACCATTCCTATGTCAACGCCGTAACCGCATCATGTTCCAGCAGGACAACGCCCGTCCTCATACAGCACATATTGTCATGCATGTTCTACAGAGCCCTTGTTCCTGGAAACCGACGTAATGATAATGATAAAAACATATGAATTTATAGAGCACCTGCTTCCAAAAAGTATTTGCTCAACGGCGTAAGCTTGTCCAAGCCCTTCAAGAAGCATGGTGAAGGATCCCTGCCCAAGGTATATGGCGTAAGCTTGTCCAAGCCCTTCAAGAAGCATGGTGAAGGATCCCTGCCCAAGGTATACGGCGTAAGCTTGTCCAAGCCCTTCAAGAAGCATGGTGAAGGATCCCTGCCCAAGGTATCACGGCGTAAGCTTGTCCAAGCCCTTCAAGAAGCATGGTGAAGGATCCCTGCCCAAGGTATACGGCGTCTGGCGTTCCCAGCACATTGTACAGATAGGGCTTGCATTGATGCCCACGGTGGACATACCAGATACTGACCACGTATGTTATTTTGTTTGCATCTGTGATCGAATACTGGACACTTCATTCCTTCATTTATAGACCCAATGGACTTATTATTGTTGCTACTCGAAGGAAATGAATGATTGCATGTTGCCCATACACCTCTTATTAAAATTCACTGTCCTTTTTCATAATGGTGGTTTGTCGTGTAATATCAGTGATTTCGATTTGGTATCGTTTCTTTCGCCCGTTAGTTTATAATAAAAAAAAAAAAAGTTTATAAAATGATAAAAATACGTCATATAGTAACAATGCACGTATGAAGATCGGTTTGCCTTAATTGGAATTGAGTTCATTTAATTAATTAGACAATCATGTTCAGTGTCGTTTAACCTCTGACTTGATCCACTTTGTTAAAAAAATAATCTTCTAATTGTTTGATCTGCATTCTAGAAGTTGGTGGGTCAAATATTAAGCATACAACTATATTTTCACTGGCTCTCCAACCCTCAGGACCATCCTCCAAGCCAATGACAGTAACCCACCCTCCAAAAATCAAGCCCCCAAAGGAGTGATCTACAAGATTAATTGTGAATGTGGCGACTCCTATATAGGTAAAACCTCCCGTCCCGTTGATATCTGCATAAAAGAACATAAAACCTCAACAGCCAAAGCAGACAGCAAATCAGCCCTCTCCGCTCACCAACAGAAATTCCCTACCCATCAAATCGAGTTTGATAAATTCGAAATCCTATCAACCAAGAATCAGGACTTCTCAAAAAGAAAA